GTTCAGAAACTCTAAATGAGTAAAATTGATTGAAAAAAATAAAATATTCTTATAAAATGCTTGATATTGTAGCCCAAGCTTTCCCATTGCCAATTGATCTTTTTGAGGATACCATCGTGCGTCATCAGACCTATTTTTGTCCAGTTTAACGCTATAAAGCTATAAATGTGTTTTTATGACCTGTTTATTTACATAAAATGGTCATTTTATATAAATCCAAAACGTCATTACGCATGTATTGCCGTTACGTATTAAGTATTGCATGTACGTATTGCATGCGTATACGTAAGTATTGCATTTATGAGTACATCCATGGCATTTGCATTGTTAAACGCGTCTTGTTTACTGCTTCAAAACGAGTGCAAACAAACAAACTGAAACTAACGCAAATAATGATCTATAAAGGCCTTTTTCATCTAAAATTCTTAAATATTGTTATAAAATGGTCATCGTATAAAAGTTTATAACGGTCTAGTGTAAAAATTAAAGCCCTCAAACGTACAAAGTTGGTTTCGTTCGACACGTCTTCATCATAGCTACATAGTAAGCCTAAAAAGATTCAATTAACGGGGATAAATATATATGAATACATATTTAACTACAGAATCCTTCATAAACAATGGTTAAGAAATGTTTTTAAAAACGGCCCCATGAATAGACTACTTCAAATACTTTATAACCGTTTCCTGTCGCCGCTTTGTAACCGTTCCCCTACAAAATGAAATGAAAAACGCAGAATGCGTAATTTCTTCGATTTTCAGGGAGAACACCCACTTAAGCGCAGCTATTGCTTCACTTGCAGCAACAGCAGCTGAAATAGGCAAAGATCGGGCAGGTCTCGCTGCTTGTTTACTGCGACCAGACGACGGACGGCGGCGGCTGGACGGTCTTCCTGCGGCGCCAGAAGCAGGAGCCTCAACTCAACTTCAGTCGAACCTTCAAGGAATACGAAGAAGGATTCGGCAGTCCCACTGGCGAATACTGGCTGGGTAACGCTGGGCTCACGTTTAATAATATCTTTATCGTGCTATATTAATTTAAAGCCCATTTTCAAGGGCAGAGGAGTAGTGTGTAAATTTTCACAATTTTCAATCAAAACCTAGAAGTTTTCGATAGTTGAGAGAAACTACTGCTATGCGCTGTGAGCTCTAACAATAGTAAACAAATAAAAATAAACATGGAAGATAATTTTTTCATGACAGGCCTGAAGAACCTGCATGCATTGACGTCTAGAAAAGAGAACGAACTTATGGTAGTGATCGTCCGAGGAGCAGAGAACACCAGCAGTCACTACCGGTACTTCAAGTGAGTCATGCATCGTTGTTGTGGTACAGAGGGAGTTTTGTGATACAGAGGAAGTGTTGTGGTACAGAGGGAGTGTTGTGGCACAGAGGGAGTGTTGGGGTACAGAGGGAGTGTTGGGGTACAGATTGAGTGTTGTGGTACAGAGGGAGTGTTGGGGTACAAAGGGAGTGTTGTGATACAGAGTGAGTGTCGTGGTAAGGAGGGAATGTCGAGGTACAGAGGGAATTTTGAAGTACAGAGGGCTTGTTGGGCTAAAGAGGGAATGTAATGGTTCACAGTTAAAATTTTGACTATTTTTGAACACATATTGATAAATTTTCACATTCAAAACGCTTTTGTTCTTATGTATGGTACCATCATCCACATGTGGGCAGGCTCCTATGTATAGTACCATCACACACACATGGGCATGTTCCTATGTATTGTGCCAACACACACACATGTGGGCATGTTCCTATGTATTGTGCCATCACACACACATGGGCATGTTCCTATGCATGGTACCATCACACACATGTGGACATGTTCCCACGTTTGGTCTCCCCAAACATTGCCCCAACATGGTCTCCCCACATTCTCTATTGTGCTATTGGCTCCGTTGTCATACCTCAAGCACATTCGCTCAACCCTTCGTGTACTGGCAATCTGGCAACAATACGCATATTACTCAACTTTCTCTCATGATCAGAACCAAGGATAACTAGCTGAAAATGCGAGACAATTTAGAACATTGCATACAGAACCTTTTGCGTAAAGTGAGCATCTCGTACTGGCGAATAATTTCTACAACGGCAAAACTATGATTTTCTAGGTAAAATATCAAGGTTCTTATCATACTCTTGATATGTCATATAAAGAATATTATGGAACTACCTGAAGCGAAGCGGAAGCGTTATATATGCGAGAAGGGCTGTATATGATACACATGTCCTTTATCTACAACCCTTAGGAAAAAAGTGCGGGTCAGCACGATCGCTTGACGATATTTTGGATTCACCGAAGCAGCGTAGAACTGGCCTAATGACAAGAAATAATATTAGAATCTCCTGCTGCTGTTTGATGGTTTCCAGCCATTGGCAAACACAGCTACCTGCTTTGTATCGTAAAGAGTATGTTAATGCAGATTAAAGAAGATTTGTATATTATTCATAAACTTGATGAGCCATAGGCTTGTTTCCCTTTCATTTGAATGAAGGCATGAAGCATATCGACAGTTTGCTGGAATATCGCTGTGGTTCTTTGGTATGAGATGTATGTCTGCCCAAATGTACAACAACCGAACGCTTGACATGTTGTCAACAGCCGAACGCTTGACATGTTGTCAACAGCCGAACGCTTGACAGCCAAATCCTGCGAGCAGCCGAGTACATCCGGACACTGCAAATCAACTGACGAGCATCCGAATGAAGAACAAAGGCTAAAAACAACTAGAGTGCAGACGTTGTATTTAGAGTTCAGTTTCACCACTTTTCAGACTATTCGTTGGACGTCAAGAGTAGGATGATATCGAAGATGTAAGATGTCTTCGGTAACCCCGAGGAGGCAGCGATATCAAGAACGCCAATTTTAACAGTATTTTACAAAGAAATTCAACAAATTTTCTAGAACTTGTGGAATTTTGGATAAATGAAACCAATGGAACGAAGTTGGAAATGTTATTCATACCGTACGAACAACACGGCACGCATGCCCATCGAGGGACGCGTGGACGCGGCAGACGAACAGGAATAATGTGTGCTTCTCCGCCCAGCGTGTTAGGCGGTTGCCTTCTCAGTGGCGACTAAATGATATATGTTATTATGATGTATGATGTTAATATTTCAGTACAGTGTATCTGCGATGCAATACGATGAACTGCATGCGTTATTCTTAATATGGCTCCAAAATTCCATGGTTTATCAGTCAGCTCACGGCCGCCGGCGTTCCAGGAGCATGTCTGAACATTGAATCAAACGAAATCTTTCAACAAAATGTGCCCGACGCACGCACAGATTTACTTTGGATTATATAATTTCATGGTGACCATAAAGTGGATTAAAATTGGACTATAATTCTTGTAACTTGCCAAAACCTACGCTATTACCAATCATAAAATCCAGGGAATAATGTCTTAGGTTTTAACCCATGCACGTTCATAATTTTATTCAAATTTTCAAAAAAACGAGTGAAAATAAAATTTAGCAACAATATCATTCACGAATCGAAATATCACCATTCAATTCTGTAATTTTACATATTAATTATAATAAAAGAAGACTGAACCCTCCCGCTTGCACACACATTCTATCGCTAACGGATGTGCACTCGTCGTCAACAGCGATTAGTTTTCTCGAAATTACCGCTGAAAAATAGTTGCTTCGTTTCCTATCTCGGTCTCCGACTTCTATACTTAAGAAATATAATCTTGAAACTCTGGCACAGGAGAAGAGAAAAGATGGCTCTACGCAATTGGTCACCGATATGAACACTACTTTGTTGGGAACTTGCAATCTACTTTATTAACGGACATGCAAGCGTTAATCGACACACAGCACGCTTTATTCACATAACACTTCTGTAAAAAAAGAATCATTCAAAGAATAAATAGTTCGAAAAATATAATTAACGAAAAAATAAAAGAAACACAAATGACAAACCTAACACTCTTGCAACCTAAAACCCTAACACTCGAACAAGTCCAACCATTACAACCTAACACTAAACGTGCGTTTTAATCAACTTCCATTTTAATCCACAAGATTCAAGTCCAAAAAACCGATGCCTTCCTGAAATAAAACAAAAATAACACTTGAAATACCTAACTAGAGTATAATAATATATAATAAATGAATTAAAACACACAAATAATCAATATACCGCGAAACGATTCACTCTAAAATAGAACACTCACAAATATAATCACAGGGCTTTCGATTAACGTACCTCCACGTCAAGATCACGAGATACAATGATAAATACAACACCCTGCTGCTGGAGGTCACGGCTAAGGTGATTGAAAACATGAATGACAAACCTCGTAAAACCTAATACATTGCAAATCGGAAATTAAATAATATATATATAGCAATAAATTAAAGCTATTTCCTTTACAACTTACCACCCACGGCCACACCACTTTCACCAACATTCATCTGACCAACACCCTTCTCACCATCACCCCTCTCACCAACACCCACACCAACATCCCTCTCACTCACACCTCTGAACAAGTGAGTTTACATACTCACTATTTTATATAAAAATAAGTTACAATTCTTAATGCTTACAGTAAGATTGTGATAGAATTCTTTGAAAGTTGAGTTCGCTTTTGAACATTATTCAAGTAGGTTTAAGCTTCTAGCAACTAGTTATCGCTAGCATATCCGGCGAATGTCTAAGCACGGGTGCACGTCGAAAGTTGGCATCCTTCCGTGTGCACTTGGAATCTTTTGACGTGAGAGGTAGCGTCCTTCAGTGTGCATGCAGTTGGAATCCTTTGACGTGAAAGGTAGTATCCATCAGTGTGCAGTTAAAATCCTTCGACGTGAGAGGTGGCATCCTTCAGTGTGCAGTTGTAATCCTTAGACTTGAGAGGTATAATCCTTCAGTGTGCAGTTGGAATCCTTCGACGTGAGAAGTAGACGAGTGCAATGTGTCTACCGAGAGATACTCTCGCCAGGCTGCAAATTCTGTTGTCAACTGTTCTTCTCTTGGCGATGGGAGATGCCCAGATTTCAGCCTCGTCCTCTCGGTCCCTGCCACACCAACGTTACCCACCCATTGGCGATGTCGACGAATGTCTCGGCCTAGTCAAAACTGCGTTGGACATCCTCGATAACCCTGAGAGCGTCGACGATATTAAGTACGGCAATTTTGACAGGCAACAACAAGAAATTTATGACAGTCTCAAAGAACTTTCAGAGTATTTGGCAAATGAAGCCAATGGAATGGTGGGGGAAAAGTCATCAGTGTCAGGAGTGCTCAAAGACCTCAAGTCTTATCGTAGCGCATCGCGAAGCAGTTAGTTCCTCCTGAGTCACCGCGATCTTCAGAGCCTCCACTTCCTTCTGAGTTACCACTTGCTACTGAGTTGCCACTCTCTTCTCAGTCCAGCACCATCACACCTCTTCAGACAACGGTAGATACGTATAAATAAAAAGTGAAATATGTAAATGTTATTTGGATGCTCTTGTTGTAAATATTGAAATAAAGAAATTCGATTGCATCTATAAATTTAGAGGTCGTAAAAACCTCTCCCAACATCATTGTACTAAGCGGCCAAATATTTCCGATTTCACTCGGATTTCGAATTAACTCCATACTCAATTACTTTTTCATGTCCGGACGATCGAAAAGAGTTTATCAGAAGATTGAATTCCAATTTTTGAAATTCAACTAAAAGATTGTCCCAATTATTCACTTTTCAGGTACCGCTCATTCCCGCGGATTGCTCGGAGCGGCCGGAGAAGACATCGGGCGTGTACACCATCTACCCCAGCGGCGCTGCCGTCCAAGTTTACTGCGACCAGACGACGGACGGCGGCGGCTGGACGGTCTTCCTGCGGCGCCAGAAGCAGGAGCCTCAACTCAACTTCAGTCGAACCTTCAAGGAATACGAAGAAGGATTCGGCAGTCCCACTGGCGAATACTGGCTGGGTAACTATGTTGCGAGCAAAAATAAATTATAAATGTCATAAGTCTACATTCATGTTGCATTTTGACTCGACAGGTTTGAGAAACCTGCATCTCCTGACGTCTAGAAAGCTGGAGTTAAAGGCGGTGATCGTCCGAGGAGCAGAGAGCACCAGCAGCCACTACCTCTATTTTGAGTGAGTCATCACCCTGTGGTTGTGGTACAGAGGGAGTGCTTGGGTACAGAGGGTGTTGTGGTACAGAGGAAGTGCCTTGGTTCAGAGGGTGTTGGGGTACAGAGGAAGTGCTTTGGTTCAGAGGGTGTTGTGGTACAGATCGAGGAAGTGCCTTGGTTCAGAGGGTGTTGGGGTACAGAGGAAGTGCTTTGGTTCAGAGGGTGTTGTGGTACAGAGGAAGTGCTTTGGTTCAGAGGGTGTTGTGGTACAGAGGAAGTGCTTTGGTTCAGAGGGTGTTGTGGTACAGAGGAAGTGCTTGAGTATCCAGAGGGAGTGCTTGGGTACAGAGGGGGTGCTTAGGTTCAGAGGGTGTTGTGGTACAGAGGGAGTGCTTGGGTACAGAGGGAACGCAATACATTCCCTATTACCAGTGGTGGGCGCAGCTAACCAAAAAGTATGCTTCGATAACCGTTAATCCGCTAACTGAAAAGTTAGCTTTTATAACGCCAAACCGATAAATCGCCGAAAATTTAGCTGAATTTACCGTTAACCGCTAAATTTTACTATATCAATTTAACTTTGTCTTAATTTTTTGGGGGGCTCTGAAACTCTGAAAAACATAAAATGAAGAGCTGAACTTTCAATATGTTCGGAGTATTGACAAGGAGCTTTCCAAAAAGGTGTAGCATGCCAAGATCAAATGATGATAATGATGTACATAAATAATTAAATGAACAAATGAAATTGAGCAGTAGTTAACATTCAACATACAGTTCATTAAGCGAATAAGAAAGTATTAAACGAATAAGAAATGTAAAGAAATAAAAACACGCAAGTAAAAGCAGGGTTACACACTGCTCTTACTCTGGCTTGCCCTTCATCTCCTCTAGGTGATTATTTTTGCCCTTGATGAACATCAGCCTCTTTGCCCTTGATAAACATCAGCCTCTTTGCCCTTGATGAACATCAGCCTCTTGCGGCGCCAGAAGCAGGAGCCTCAACTCAACTTCAGTCGAACCTTCAAGGAATACGAAGAAGGATTCGGCAGTCCCACTGGCGAATACTGGCTGGTTAACACTGGGTTCATGTTGACTTAACCTCTAACACCATGGAGCTAATATTAAAATCTTTTATTTTCAGAATTTTCTAACTAATTTGGACGTTTTTGATACAAAAAGGGGAACACTGATGTTGCGAACAAAAATAAATTATAAAATGGCATAAATCTACGTTCATGTTGCATTTCGACTCGACAGGTTTGAGAAACCTGCATCTCCTGACGTCCAGGATGCTGCAGGAGGCAGTGATCGTCCGAGGAGCAGAGAGCACCAGCAGCTACTACCTCTATTTTGAGTGAGTCGTCACCCTGTGGTTGTGGTGCAGAGGGAGTGTTGTGGTACAGAGGGAACGCATTACATTCCCTATTACTAATTTTCGGTCTATCGGCTGCTGGCGCAGGGACGCCGGACGGTCACCCAACAATGGCCAGCATGTGCATTAGCAGCTTCTTGTCCGATTTTCACTTTTTTTTCGAGCGAAATAAGCGCCGGACTAGAATCCGGTAAATTTTCTGGCAGTAGTAGGGCGAATGCGGGCTAAAAAACACCTTCTCTTCCTCCTTTTTTGAGCGAAGGTAGAATGGGGGTGTTTCATACCCTACTTTGATATTTGCACGTTTCTGTTGAATATTTCTGTTCCAACGCGTGTATTAAAAGAAAACACTAAAGTTAATGCATTGACGAGGTATAGTAATGTAATGATAAAGAAATGTATTTACTTTCTCAACAAGAACATTAACCAATTAACTGGCAAGTGAATCCCGAAAACTGCTCCTGATTAGTAGCCGAATACTGCAGCCGATTACACACCGTTTCGCGTCTGATTTGCCTCTTGGGCGACTATGGCGAGCCTCCGGCGCCCCGAGACAGAATCTGGATTTTGACTGGGAAAGTTGGGACAGAAGGAGTGTTATGGTACAGAGGGAATGTTGGGGTACAGAAGGAGTGTTGGGGTACAGAGGGAGTGTTGGGGTACAGAGGGAGTGTTGGGGTAAAGAGCTAGGGAATGTTGGGGACATACGGAATGTTGAGGTATAGTGGGAATGTTGTGGTACAGAGGGAGTGTTGGGGTACAAGGGGAATTTTAGGGTACAGGGGGAATGTTGGGGTACAAGGGGAATTTTAGGGTTAGGGTGGAATGTTGGTGTACAAAGGAAATGTTGTGTTACAGAGAGAACGTTGGGGTACAATGGAATTATTGGAATATATTGTAGTGTTGTATTACAGAACGAATGTTTGTATCAACTCAAATAAAAAAATCCAGCCCGAGGTTGTGGTTCATAAAATATTTTCCTTCACAATTTGTCCTCGAATTCAGAAAAAATAAATAACACATATATAGTATATCCGTTTCAATCTGAGGCCACTGATACTGATAATATTCACCTCATCATAAGATAGCATTGCAAGAAAAATTCGTTATATCATTCAGATCAATATTCTTCACCAGGAATTAGCGTGTAATTTTATCAATCAGAGTGGCAAGCGGCGATGAGTACAGACTGAGGGTCGGTGGCTACGACGCTAAGGGCAGCTCTGCCGGCGACCCTCTCGTCTACCACAACGGCATGAAGTTCTCGACCATCGATCGTGATCGTGATTTGAAACATGGTGAGATCGAGTGAAATTAGGACAGTTTAACTACGCATATAGTGAACATTCAATAAATCGTGAACATTCGAATTATGCCCCGTACTCTCGCACACGACGTCACACTATATAGCTCTACCGAGGCAATGCAGGTTTGAAATACTGGATATTTGTCTCAGCATCAAAGTCTGAGTTCTGCTCATGCACAGGGACCAATATAGTAGAATCTTTTGTACTATCACTCTTTATTGTAAAACAAATATGTTCCTAAACAAAACAAGCAAACCTTCCATTAAAGAATAAAGGGACCAAACGTACACAATGCCAAGACATGTTAATCTTTCGACCGTCAGCAACTTAATTATTACGTTCAAGTTGGATAAACCGAATATAAACCGAATATTTTCTAAATTTTTGGCGCATTTTCTCATTTATGGAATAAATGCACTATTGTGCTCACCATGTCCGTCCGTCCGTCCGTCCGTGACTTCACGTTTTCGTCGACGAGAAAATGCGCTCTCTGTCACTCACTGCAGTGAGTACTGCGTTATATTTTTTAGGAGAAAGCTGTTCGGAGAGGTACTGTGGCGGTGGCTGGCGGTACATTAATTAACTGCCTATAGCTGCGAACCCTACAGGCGTGTACGCCCGCGACAGACCTGCCGGCGAGTCCAATTTTTACAATCAACCCTTCGCGTACTGGCAATCTGACAACACGAGGCACATCACTCAACTCATCGACATGATCAGACCAAATGATTAAGATTAACATGTCTCAGATCATGTAACATGTCTCTGATCATGTAACATGTCTCAGATCATGTAACATGTACGTCTCTGATCATGTAACGTGTCTCAGATCATGTAACATGTCTCAGATCATGTAACATGTCTCAGATCATGTAACATGTCTCAGATCATGTAACATGTCTCTGATCATGTAACATGTCTCTGATCATGTAACATGTCTCTGATCATGTAACATGTCTCAGATCATGTAACATGTCTCAGATCATGTAACATGTCTCAGATCATGTAACATGTCTCTGATCATGTAACATGTCTCAGATCATGTAACATGTCTCAGATCATGTAACATGTCTCTGATCATGTAACATGTCTCAGATCATGTAACATGTTTCTGATCATGTAACATGTCTCACATCATGTAACATGTCTCAGATCATGTGATCATGTAACATGTTTCTGATCATGTAACATGTCTCAGATCATGTAACATGTCTCAGATCATGTAACATGTCTCACATCATGCAGCATGTCTCAGATCATGTAACATGTCTCATGTCCCAAGTAGGACATGAAGTAGGACTCCGATCATGAACATGTCTCAAGTAGGACATGAAGAACATGCTCTAGCATTAGTAGAAGGACATGTAGGACCATCCATAATTTACTATAGAGAGCGTTATGTGCTATGAAATGGAGCTGTATTATATCCTTAACCTGATTGACCATCTGCTTGTACTATTTACGATTGGCCCTTCGCTGGAAAACGTTTAAACAAACCTAGAATTTAGTTCATGAAGAACACTACGTAATAACAAGTAAATGTAGTAGCAGTCCTTGAGAACAGGTCAGGATCAGCGAGGCCGTGTGATGGCACTTGGAATTGTCCAATCGCGTGGATCGCAAACCTCCGGACTAAACAAGAGGAGCTGATTTGCACTCATATTGTTCCCTTTGGCTTCTCTTCGTTTCGGTCGTTATGTTTTCTAGTGTAAGGATGTAAAATTAAGTTCTAGAAAGCACTTAATGAGAGGCAGTAACAGTAGGAACCGACCACGACATATCAGTTTGAAGCCAGTACTTATACAGTTGGCAACCCATGTAACGGCACTGTCAACTTGCTGTAGCGCATATTAGCGACTTAACTTACAAGTATTGCCTTTATTGGCTAGTTACAGAATTAATTTATACTGCGAACACAGTAGTGAATTAAATGATTGGTTATAATTGTGCATAAATTAGGAATCAATTCAACTGTGATAGGGCTAGATCATTAACTGATAGTACCCAGTATGAGTCAGGCCAACACAGTTGGGACGGCTGCAGTTTCTTTCCCAAGCAAGACATCGTCGTCGAGACCGCGCCACGGAAGACGGGTAATGGTGTTGTACGCTGACATTGGGCGCACACATGGCACCGTCCACCGAAGTAGTCGATGGTCGGAAATTGCGATCTCGATGATGTCGATTGGCCGAATGTGAAGGTCATCTGGCGTGATGACAACATCCAGCAGTCCGCCCGTGTCGTGCGTCGGCAAGGTCACGTGTCAAACCATGGCGAAGGTGGACAGCAGATCGTTCAGCTGACGCGCCGATGGGTCGTCGACGCGATCCAGTCGAACGTTTACATCGCCGGTGGAAAGGACATGATCTAGCAAAGTCGCGATAGATGGTGACTACAACACCTATACATATGTGCACGAAGTGCAGGTTACCCTAGCTAGCACATAGAGGCTCAAAGGTGGTAGGTCGAGGGCCGGCGTCGAGCATGGTAAGGTGTACGCCCATGCTGGCGACGGTAGTGATGACGAATACACGGTTTTCGCATACTTCTTGATAGGTGGCAGTGGGACGCCTATTTCGGCCGGTACGGCAACCACGATAAAATATGCGAGGTGGTGAGGGGGAAAGGCGCGATTCAAACTATGGCACGAATCGACTCTCTCGCAGACGGATGGATCGAGGGCTGCAGGTAAATTAGGACACTTTACCAAATTAAAATATCATCAAATTGGTGCCAAATTTTAGGTTATAGTTTCCTCTCTTTATTGTTATGCATTTAGTTGGGTTGCTATGAATGACTTTAATGTTTCCTATACGGACTTTTACAGCACCTGTTGCATCCGGAAATAAAAAAATTCCGATTATTCTGTACAACCATAATAAAATATTTCATAATCGTCATTTTCGTCTTTTGGCTTTGTTGTTAGGCTTATGTGATGTGTTTTTGGCTCTGTAAAACCAAATTATACATGAACGCAATCATGAAGCTTTGGTTCTCTCGGTATTGGTTTTGAAGATTAGTAAACTTTTTCCTAGCTGCAATTCTTCGTCTGTTGCTGTAGATGTATAATTTAAAATACGTACGTTTTCTTCCGATAAAGATGACGAAGAGCCTGGTATCTCTTTCTGCGTATATTTGGCGGTGAACGGTAAATTTCTTTTTTATATTGGAAGGTCCTGGCTTGAAGAATGAGAAGGTCCTGGGACATGGACACGGTCTCAGCGTACCGCAAACCACCGTTCTGGAATAATTTCGCTACCATTTTCAAATTAATGTAACAAAATACTGTTTATCGTGAGTAATTAATTTTGATGGTATTACATAACAATTATTACACAGTAAAGCTTTAGTTCGCAAAATAGGTGCTGTCCCAGAATAGGCTGTCCCAGCCCCTGCTCTACTACCAGCAGCGAGAAGCAAGCAACAGCATCGTGCATCAGCTGGCCCGAATGAGGGTGGATCCATCGTGGCCTGTGACTGCTAGGTCGGAAACATATACTTAGGATACTGAGCTCATTCCAATCATTTAATTGCGTCTATAACGTTACCGATCCGTAAATTACTCGACTAAAAATGGATTTAATATGCAGACTTTCCAGTGGACACTCCTCAGGCCTCATTTCAGGTCAGTCAGCTTAGTTCATTGAAATATTGAGAATTGATGACGCCATCGTGACGTAGTAAGGCAGGTTGCCGGAAGTCGCGGGAACGTTTTTATAACAATTAATTTAATGGAACTTCAGTAATACCTCAGTAACCTATCGCAAGTGTTACGTTTCTCACATCGGCTGCGATAGGTGAAATCCGCGATAGTACATGTTTAAATAATTATATTGTAATTGTTTTGTACACTTTATCATCTCACACCCTATTTCTGCTACCGGGATATGCACCATCTGATACACTACCGGGGTCGCTATCATATACACTATAATTTCTGTCGGGTTGCGCGTGAGCGTTGCTGGCAGAAACAGAGATAGGACTGCAATAAAGAGATATGCAGGGATGGCGAATTATGAATTTTGCAGCATTCCAGCGAGGGTGGGAGATGACCAGAGTTACGTCTCCACAAACTCAAAATCTGGCCGAGGACTTCATCCTACACAACGTTGGCATCCCACTAACGGTTGAACCACCAAATGCCGCACCCCTCTCGTAGACCTGCGTACCACCGAGCCTAGCACCCGTACTACCCGACATCCCACCCGCAACTACACACCACCGTCGGCTACATGAGGCAGGGGTTGCAGCTGCCACAGCGTAGCATCAACAATAAAATTGATGTTATTGGGACCGAAGGAAAAAGTTAGAGACGCTCGGGATGCGTGCGGCATGTAAAGATGGCAGGTCTGGGGGCCTAATTAGTGCGGGGCTCATTAGGCGGGTAAAACTGCGCGATGACGGCCTGCATTGACAGCTGGGGCTGGGGGGGCTGTGAAGGGGGGAGGAATAAAGCAGGTCTTGGGGAGAAGGTGGAAGGGGAAGAAATTTAGTAGGTTTTAGGAGGGGTGAGTGGAAGAGAAGAAATGAAGCAGTTCTTGTGGGAGGGGATTGGAAGGGAGAAAGAAATGAAGCTTGAAGCCAAAGTAGCTATTGTGGGAAGGGGGTAAATGGGGAAGAAATGAAGCCGGTAATGGGGGAGGAGATGGAAAAGGTGTGGATGGGGAACAGTAGCGGATCATACCTTCTGCGAGGAATGGAAAAGAAGGTATGTAGTAGTGTGGGAGTCGCCATTCTCATTATTCATTCTCGCTAGGTCAGTTCATGGCAATCGTAAATCATCAAACATTAGGAAAGAGTGAGTGACGATGAAGAGGGATGATTTGACGTGATTGTTTCTGAAATAAATGTTCCATTTGCGTATTGAGATTTCAGCAGGTGGAATAACACTAGTGGACAAAAAGGAAAGTAAAAGTATTTATTTACTGTGGAAAAGAGGGTCGAGGGAAGTGTGAGTGTGAAGAGGGAGAGCGACATGAAAAATGAGTTGGGGCTACCGAAGAATAAAGAGGCTACCGGAGTAAGAGGAAGTGAGACTAAGGACGAGTTAGAGGAATATGAAGAGTGAGAGACACTTTGAAGGGTAGGAGGAGATGCAAGAATACGATCAAGTTAAAAGGAAGAGGTGTAAGAGAAGGGCCAGAACCGCAGGAAGTGGAAGAGAGTCAAAAGACGGAGTGACAGAAAGGCTAAGAAGTACCATTGGAGGGGACGAACTGATGAATTGAAGAGCGTCTTAGAAGGGGAGGTTGGGGAAATGTGGGAAAGTGAGAGAGGTGGGTGGAGGTGGGGGAGCAACACTTTATTTTTGTCGCAGTCTTAATTACATTTGGAGTCAATTATAGCCCCGGCCTTTATTTATTTGGAAGTTAAATGAGTGTTTGGCTGCGCCACATAAAGATGCCGCTGCTCGGCCGCCAGATCACCTCATGGGCCCTCAACATTTTACCAATACAGCCTTTTTTTCTCTGCCACGGGCCCCTTTTTACCGGGACACAATTTTTACTTGTAAGTCAATTTTCTTCTGTTAGGCGCTATTTTTATGTACGGCCCCATTTGCATTTGTTCGGAACGCCAATTTTTGAGGCTCGCACTAATTAATTTTTTTTGTCGTCTCATTCTGAACGAAAATGAATGATCAGCCCTACAAATTATATTTCGTTTACAGTAAGTAATAACGCTTTGTTAAAGAATACAATAGCGTTTACATACACAGCTATGACTCACTTACCA